GAATGGAGAAAATGTTGCTTTGTTGGTTTATTGTGTTTATTTTGGGGTCATGATTTATGATCTGCCTTTTGTACATAGTCCATATTTATTTTGAAAGATATGATTCAGTCATAATGTATGTCCATTGATATTCAAGCATATAAGTATGTGTTTTTTTGTGAGATGAAGGTGTCTGTAATATGTATATGATAAGATGTTGTTATGGCACAGAGATAATAGTGTTTGAGCCCATAGATAGGTCTTATATTATATGTTGGACAATTTGTAAATGTATATTTTGTACTGGACTTTTCTTATTGGTAGGGATTGATTATAGAGTGAGATTTGATCCTGATATTGTCCAGTTTACAATCGTCATATTGTCCAATTGACTCTGTTAGAGTTGATACTAGTTATCGTACCCCGATAGTCTTTAATCATTGCTTATGGTTACGAAGCAAGTTCATAAAAAGATAACTATATGGGAACTGGATGTTACACACGTCATAATTATTGAGAAAGTTATATGCAATGTAATAAATGATATGAAAAAAAGAAAAGGAAAAAGTTAGTTCACAAATTTAAGTAAGATAACAACGAGGTTTAAATTAAGTCTTCCGCTTTAGCATTTCAATTATGTTGCGCTTTAATACTATATGTATGCTAACTAACCGGCTTTAGACGATGATGTTACACAACTCACCCATAGTAGGCTAAATCGTGTGTGATTTAATCCAATAGTTATTGGGTTGATCATTATCTTAACCCAAACCCGGCCAATAAATTTATGTTTATTTCACTTACATGATTTTCACTTATTACATTCATAATTAATCTAAGAGTTTGCTAATTTAAATTGCCAATACTTCAATCTCAAAAAATTTAAATGCTCATGGTCTAATAGACTCCAAAATTTTCATAATTTCATGAGAGTGTCCATTTATGTGACAAAATAACAAAAACTTGAAAAAAAAAAACTTCTTTATCTCAATTGTTATGTGAAATGACTTTATAAATTGAGAATGCCACGCACAGTTTTATGCTGTCAAAACCTATTTCTCTCGTATTAAACATAAGACTATTTTTTAGAAACAATTTTGATTTATTTTTTTTAAGTTGCAATTCATGTGAAATTAAAGACGTGGTTAAAAATAAGAAATTTCGTAACAAAGTGAAGTTTGGCGAGGACTTTTCCTTCATATATAGAGATTTACTGATTTTCCAAATTGCCTAAAAATTTTAGTTGTTGGTCACTGGCCTATTTTACATCTTTATTTTTTGAATCATTGAGGACTCTATTTTTCTGGGCTTGACTCTATTTTTTATGGGCTAATATATCGAATCCACAATATAATTTGAGAATATCAAATATATATATATATATATATATATATATATATATATATATATATATATATAAAATAAAGATATTATGATCACTAAGGTAGTGGTTTGGTGTGACCTTATAAATTAATAATTAATATTTATTAAAAATTAATTAATAAATGTGATCTAATAAATTATAATCGTTAGATGCACTAAAATCAACGATTAAGATTTGATATAAGACTTATTATTCTTATAACAATGCAATAGAGGGGCAAAGCCCTAAAAAATAAAGACAAAACAAAATAGAAAAGTGGAAATAAAAGAACAAGTCAATCAGGAGCTGGAAGCCGATTCAGCACTGATTCATCGTCCCTATCTGTCATGATAAGTTGCTGTAGAACCTGAGCTGGAGAAGAGTGAAAAATAGTGCCTGTGGACTTGTTCAAAGCAGTCATAGCTAACCAATCAGCACACCTGTTGCCATTCCGCAAAATGTGAACAAACTGGATGCTCCAAGGCCTATCAACCATGGCTCAAATCCTGACCACAAGATGCAGTTGTCGAGCTTCATTACCATTAAAGGTAAGCAAACTAATGGCTTGAGAGGAATCATTCTCCATTATTAGCTTTTTAAAACCAAGACTCCAAGCGCACTCTAGGCCTTTTAGAATGGCCCAAAGCTCAGCTAGGAGAGGGGAACAACACCCCAAAAAAGAGCTAAATCCACCCAACCAGTTTCTATCATAATCACAAAATAAACCCCTACAAGCAGCTTTACCACAAGACACAGCCCCATCAACATTTACTTTCAACCAAGGGTGTGCAGGCCGAAACCAAGAAGGATTACTCATCTGAACAACAATAAAACAGGGACTAGCAAGAGAAGAAACTTGAGCAAGATTAATATCCTCCAGGTATTTTATCAGTTCACCAAAGGCATTATCAGATATCAGATCTTTTGTAATCTTTTTCATGAATATCTTTGTTCCTCCAAAGCCACAAAAGCCAACAGCCCACAAAAAAATCTCTCAAATTAGAAAGATTGTCAGGTAGGAAGACCAGATTCTTCTTCAACCAACTACAATGGTCTTAATCAGGAAAAAAATTTAGTGGCAAGGCAACAAAGAAAGAGTTGTTCCATAAACCAGCAACTTCGGGGGAGTCTCTAAAGGCATGAAGCAGGGTTTCTACCTTATCACTACAGGAATGACATCTATCAGTTCCAGAACCCCATCTAGCTGATCTGCTTCTGGTTAGGATTCTGCCATGAGCCATCTTCCAAATCTAAACCTTAATTTTCTTAAGTCATTTCCAGCTCCAAATTTTGTCCCAAGGGAAATATGATTTATCAAGGTTTGCACGAGAAATTCTGGAATAAGCTTGTTTCACCAAAGAAAAAGAGGGATTAAATTTTTTCTAAATTAAGGTGTCCTTTCCAGCATAGGAAACAGGAGGAGGGATGACTGAGATGTATTTTAATACCTACTTGTTAAAGAAATTAGCAAGGAAGCTAAAATTCCAATTGCCTATTACAGAATTAGTATAATCAGCCACCAAATCATTAAGAAAGAGAGGATGTGGGTAAAGATGTGCAAAATAACAAAAAAACTGAACCGAACTATGAACCGAATAGAACTGCACATAAAATAACCGATTTTTAAAAACCAGTTCATGAATCAAACCAGTTTTTACAGAACCAGTTCATGAACCGAACTGGTTTTTAAAATTAGTTAAAGAACCGAACCACTTTTAAACTGAACTAAATCGAACCGCTTTTCATTACGTTATTTCTTTATTATTTTTAATTTTTTCATTTCAGAAGAGGATCGACCCTAACCGGTTTCGAACCGATCCTAACCGTTTTCAACCGAATCGAACCATTTTCGAACCGAACTGAACCAGTTTTGAACCGAATCGAACCAGTTTTGAATTAAATCGAACCGTTTTGAATCAAATCGATTAAGCCAATTCGGTTCAATTTTTCAAAAATTCAATTCAATTCGACCTATGCACACCTCTAGATGCGAGGGCTGTTTGCATACATCAAGTAGCTTGGGTATTTCACTACCCACTTATCCCACCAAAAATTAATTCTTTTGTCATCCTCAACTTGGCAAACTAAGCTCTTAAGTATATCTAGCCAGATTTTACAGAAATTTGTCCAAAGCACAGAGTCATATGATTTGCAAATAGGGGACTGTTAGTATCAAAATTTATCCCATATTTAGTCAGCAAGATTTGGGCCCAAAGCTGGTTGGGAGAGCTTAAAATAGACTAGGCCATCTTATGGAGGAAAACTTCATTTTGATTCATCAAAATCATAAGGCCAAGGCCACCATTATTCTTAAGGGTGCAAATTTGATCCCAGGAAACAAGGTGGACTTTTTTCTTCTGATTAGTTTCACCGCAAATAAAGCGTCTTTAGGGCTTCTCAATTTCATCGCAAACACCAAGAGGGATGAGGCCACTATGCATGTGGAACATTGGGATAGAGGAAATAACAGATTTAGCAAGAATTACTCGACCAGCCAGGGAGAGGTTCTTTCTAACCCAATCATTTAATCTATTATGGACTCTTTCCAACATTTCACTGAATAAACTTTTCGTAACTCGACCATGTTTCATCATAGCACCAAGATATCTGCCAAGATTCTCAGTGGGAGCAAACCCACTGCTGTTGACTATTTTACTAGCCATCTCTTCACTAACATTTTTGGAGAAAAAGATATTAGATTTACAATTGTTCACCTTTTGACCAGACTCCAAACTGATTTAAATAATCCATAACCGTGGCAATTTGGTTCTTCGAAGCTTCAGCAAACAACATCAAGTCATCAGCAAAAGAAGATGAGAGATTTTGGGACCACCTTTGCCGCCCGTCATAGGGTTTCAGTTCTTAGTCTGCACTGCATCAACAATTATGTGAGATAATTTTTCCATGCACAAGACAAACATATACGGGAAAATGAGGTCTCATTGTCTAAGCCCTATAGAAGGCTTTATAGAGCCAGCTTTACCAACATTACCAACATTCCACATAATCTCTAAATCAGAGGAAGAGATACACTCCATAATTATCTCAATCAAAGGGGCTGAAATATTTATCTCCTCAAGAACCGGCCTGACGAAACTCTAGGAAATAAGGTCGTAAGCCTTTTATAAGTCAATTTTAATAGCAAAAATGCCTCTTTCACCTTTCATACGTCTCACGAATGAAGCATCTCTTAAGCGATGATGATGTTATCTTGAATATGTCTATTAAGGACATAACTCACTTGATGGGGAGATATTAGCTTCTGCATAATAGACATGAGTTTGTTGACAGTTAATTTACTGATGCCCTTGTAAAGAATAGAGCATAGAGCAATTCTTAATTTTTTTTGATACAAAATTTCTTAATCATTTAAAAATTATTAGAAGATTTAATCTCTTTAACCATTTATTATTGATTAATTCTTCAATTTATACAAAAAAAACATGTGCTATATATATAAATTCTTGCAAAATAAAAACTAGAATTACAACATAAATTTTTATAAAATATATATTTTATCGAACAAATCACTTTATTTTTTATTTTTTATTTTGATACATGATCAAATTAAATCACAAAAACTCGTATGGTATTTTCCGTTATTACATTCAAAAATGAAAAAACTTTACCTACCTTCACTAAGGTAGCCACCGTTAGGGTTGAAAATTGAACTCGAGTGTTCGGTCCCAGTTGCGATGCAAGCGGGGCTTTAGACCTAAAACCCTGCAAACCCCTATTACTTTTGTCCCTTCATTCTCGTTCTCTGTTTTCTTCTTCTTACTCTGGTGGTGTAGGAGAAGATGAGTGGTTGGAGAAACCTTCTTCTACGAATCGGCGACAAGAGTCCCGAATATGGAGCCACTTCCGACTTCAAGGACCACATTGTTCGCTCTCAACTTCGCTTATCCATTTCGCTCTGAATCGATTCTTTCGCTAATGCCGCTCCTTTTTTATTTCTTCAATTTTTCAGGAAACTTGCTTTGGCGCCCTTCGCCGAGAGCTTGACCACTCGCGAACTGAGATTTTGGAGGTAAAGTTCGATTCTCTGTTTGGCATTTGAGGTCAAATTTTTGAGTTTTGATGGTTAGGTCAAATTATATATATTTTTATGACACTGTCACATGTTCAGTGTCTAGTGTCTGATAAATTGTTATCTATTTTTATTGTATTCATGCAGTTCCTTCTCGCATGTGCTGAGCAATTGCCTCACAAGATTCCTTTTTATGGAACCCTGGTAGAGATTTCCCTCTCTCTCTTTTGAACCGCAAATGGAATCCTTTATTTATTTTTCTGTGTGTTCCAATATTCGTCTCTTATTCTGGACATGGTTGTATGCATGAATGTTATGCAGATATGAGATTCTCTTATTATTATTATTATTATTATTATTTTTTAGGTGTGATAGTGTATGTGTGCAGTTTTCAGAGGTTGCTTTATATTTTTGAACATGCAGAATTCTTTTGATGAATCAGAACTGGAAATCCGATGAAATCTTAATTTATTATTGTCATAGTTAAGACAGTGGAAGTGCATCTAAGTATTCTGTCATGTATGTGATCAACTGCTAGTTATGACAATGTACCTGATCAACTGAATTCTTGACTTTCCAAGCATTTTCTTCTTTCTAATTTATTTTTAAAAAATCCTAATATCCACCCGTTGCCCACTTTTTCCCTTTATGTTCTGTTTAATTTTCAAATGCAAGCTTTATAAGTTTTATATTGCACATTTTTGTTACTTGTCAGCTCCGTGAATTTCAAAGGTCCTTTTGAATTTGGACTGACATAGGCAAGTTTGTAATGACTTTTAGATATTCATACAGTCAAAACAGTGTTTTTTTAAGGAACATTATTCTGTTTCTAACATCATAGAGGGAATGTTCAGGAAAGATTTTTAATGAATGTGCATTTCAAAGTTGGAGAGCACATAACCAGCAAGATTTTGACAAAATCATATAAATTTTATTACTTCAATAGGAAATGAAGCAATATAATAAGCCTAGTCTGACACATTTGCTCCTCTCCGCCATTATATCATCATATTATTTGCGGCATTTTGCAACAAATGTCAATTATGTGTATCAGTTTGCTTTGCTGTAATTGTGTTGTTTCTGTATTCTATATCTAAAAGTTCTTTAAAGGTAATTACCATCTCAATTATGTATTGTGAAATTTCTCTTACTTGAATAGTTTTCGAATTGAATTTTCTGAGCATCCTGTGTTTCCTATTTATACATTTCATTTCATTTCAGATTGGCTTGCTTAACTTGGAAGATGAGGAGTTTGTGAAAAAACTAGTGGAGAAAACTCAAATTAAATTTCAGGTAAGCAAATAAGCCAGTGAAGCTACTAAATTGATTTCTTGTCATTGTATTTGCACTGTCTTCATTCTCTTAGTTTATATTAGTTCATTGGCTAAACATGCAATTAACAATATGACCATGTGAATAAGCTGTCTATGATTAGTTGAGTATTTGCTAGTAATTCTAAAACCTAACGGTGTATACTAAAATTTGAAAACTAATGTTGTTTGTTTTCAAAGCATTGTTGACTGCTTGCTATGTTGGATTATTTGGTATTTGACTCTTATTGTCTTCATTTTGGCCACCAATGCAAATGTTTCATGATAGTCAATACCATATGTTTGAGTGTAGTCTTTAGTAACTAACCTTGCTTTACACCTGTCAAGTCAATATTATAATTTTGAACTAGGAATTGACAAAAGAACTTAACCGTAAGTCTTGCAAAAAAGAAAGAAAGAATACAAGTGATAAGTAATATCTGAGTCACATAGGATTGCGTGAAGCCTATGTTTCAGAAGAATGAAAATAATACAATGAAATAGCCCAATAAGATGCATATAGAGGGAAGTGAGTGACTGTGTGAGGCCCCATTTCCAAAGATTGGAACTGGGCAATGGAACAATCAAATAGGGTGCATTCAGTAGGGAACCCTCAGTTCCTTTTCATTTAATAATTCTAACTTATTTGATTTGTCAATTTCTTTTATGAGTATTTATGAAAAAAAGAAAAAAAGAAAAAAAGAAAAATGGTTAACGAATCATTGAATCATGCATTTTGTATCCTATCCATGATATGAAGTCACATCGGTTCGTGCATGTATTACCTGATTCAGAGCCATCTTTGATTCATCATATGATGTGGATCAATGACTTGTCGAATCGTGTGATTCGAATCATGAATCGTGTAATTCTAACAACTGTGCTTCTCCAACCTGCTGTCTGCCCTCAACCACACTCTCTTCAGACCTTTTGTGATGCTGACTGGGCATCAGACCCAGCAAACTGCTGATCAACCTCTGGTGCATTTTTTTTTTGGGACCCAACTTGGTCCGCGTGCTGATGGTCTCACCAAGCCCTTATCCAAGCTCCGGTTGTCCAGTCTAAGAGACAACTATGGGTTTTTGAACAACTTTCAGTTTCCTCATCCACCTGAGTTTGAGGGGGCGGCTGCTAGAGTATTCTACATCTATTCAGTTTAGACTTGTATTGAGTATGTGGTAACACTTGTAACAGATTTCTGTTCAGTAATTGCCTCTGTATTTAAGACAGTTGTCTCCAATTGTCCGAACTGGCTATGATATCTGTATAAATATATGAACTCAGACCTGAGTTCAGATGATGCAATAGAAACAATTTTAGAGATCTGATATTGCCCTTAGCTTTCTCTCTATTCTACACTTCATTTCCAAGATTTTCTCTCTGTTTCTTCCATTTTCTCATCAATTTTCATCTTTGCTACGAACCTTGGGAGAGCCTCATCCAAAAAGCTAGCTTGTAAGGTAGGAGAGTCAAGTTCTATACCCCTTGCAATTGGATCATAACAATCTTCAACAGATCCTGTTTGGTGAAACATATTTTAATAACTTTTTATAGAACAATATTTACTGTGGTTTTTAATCGTTAAAGTTTGTTTTATTTGATGCAACTATATGACTTGTCTATTTAATGGTTCTTACTAATGGTTTTTTTCATACAAACACTGTCAATTTGAATTTGTTTTGTTTTCAAAATAAATATAATTATATATTTAATATTTCTTTAATTTGTTTGAAATGATTGAATGTAAGAATTTATTTAATTTTTACTTTGATCTTTGAGCGCTTCTGCTGTCTCTCTTTGATTTATTCCCTATAATTAAAGTTTTGCTTGATTGACATTTTTTTTTTGTAATTTAGGATGCCTTAGATTCTGGAAACTGCAATGGGGTTCGTATCCTAATGCGGCTTATGACTGTTATGGTAGGTATTGCCATTGTTGATTTTTGATGAAAAATAATGTACCTTTATGGATGTAATAATTGTTCACTGGTACATTCTGAACAGTATGAGCTGAATAGGAAATCCTTCATGTTTTCGGCATGGGTTCATTCTACATTGATAAATAATTGTCCCTTGTTAGAATATGATTTTTCGTGTCTAAAATGTTGTACAGTTGTCTTGTAATTCTTTTTCCTATCATTAGTCTTTTTTGACTTGGACTTACACATTTAATCTTTCTATTCTAGTCCTTGTATGCTGTAGTTTACAATTACATGTGTTGTGGAGTAAGTTCATGCAACTGAATTTAATTTTTTTATTTGTTGCTTTCTTGTGAATTCTTCAGATGTGCAGTAAGGTTCTTCAACCAAGCTCTTTGGTGGTTGTATTCGAAACATTTTTATCATCTGCTGCCACTACAGTAGATGAGGAAAAAGGAAATCCCTTATGGCAGCCATGTGCTGACTTTTACATAACTTGCATTTTATCATGCCTCCCATGGGGTGGAGCAGAACTTATTGAGGTAATTATTTGATGCTTGAACATTTGGTAAACTTTTTAACTTTAGGGAATCTGTTGGCACAACTTTTCTGTCTGCATTATGACCTTGTTATTCAAAATATACCTTTGTTCCTTTTATAAATGTTTATCTATTCAATTATTAAATCTATTAATTCCTGATTTTTTTTGTTATTTTTACCTAATGTCTTAAAGTAATATGAGCTATTATAAATTTGAAGGTTTAATTTCTTATTCAAGAAGAGCAATATTGCATATGTATATATATACGTGTGTGTATGTATGTATTCATAGTGACAGAATCATTTGACACTCACCTGAGTAGTTGGTTTTTGCTAATTTGATGGTTTTAATTTATTGGGTTACACCCATTAATTAATTACTAGTTCTCAGTAAGTTACCATTGTCAGACCGGCGAAAATCAATGATTCAGATGGGGTTTTAAACTTTTTAATTTGACACGGGTGAAATGATCCCGCCACACAGACACATGCACGCTCGTGCACACACAGACACAGATACACCCGCACGCTCACGCGCACACCCACCCACAATATATATATATATATATATATATATATATATATATGGTTCAATTTACACTGGTGTAAGACTTAAGATTCTTACACCATTCATTAACTTTATATAAAATGTGACTTTCATCGATCCAACCCTTGAATTATAACTATATATTACTTTTTTTTATAAAATGTGACTTTCATCGATCCAACCCTTGAATTATAACTATATATTACTTTTTTGTGTGTTAAATCTTGTAAAAATGAAACAACAATAAGAATATAATCAAATGGTTTTTATTTTTTGTACACTTCAAAAGTATATATCCTGTTAATCTTGATGCATATTAATGAAGTACTAAATAGTTTTGGAGTAAACTGCTTTTTGCATGATGAGCTTGCTGATGCCAATGAGGTTTGGTATTGCTAGTCGAACTTTCTGCCCATGCTAGTCTTGGCTTGGGTTTGATTTTCAGCCTCTTCTCTTTGGTAGGCAATATGTGATCCTACTTTAAATATTCATTGAGGTTGGTGGTCTTCCCTGACCTTTCATGTGGGCGTGCCTCCCGTAATCTAAACTTGAATGCACACAAAAAAAAGTACTAAAAAGTTTTGGATTAATTTTATAATTTATTAATATTACTTATATGAAAAAAATTTTCAGTTCACGGTGGATTTTAAGATAAAATTATCCAGTAAAAGGATATTCATTGTTGTAAGAAGGATTTTAACTTATACTCATGTAAGCCGATTGAGGATGAGGCTTGGAGCAGTGATAAGGTTGTTCTTTTGTCAAAGAGAAAGAATAGAGAGAAAGAGAAGCGAGATCTAAACATTTCTCTGATTAATATTGCAACTAAATCAATTCTTACAGATCTCAAAAGAGACAAGTCTTATATAGGCTACAACCTTTCAGAAGCTACTAACAACCTGGCTGAACTGAATAACAAGCTGAATAACAAATTGAACAAAGTACAAGCTGACACGTACTCTATTACACCCCCCTTAAACTCAAGGTGGTCTATCATTCTGTAGCCAATCAAGAACCTTAGTTTATCTCTCAATTAAAACGAGGAGCAAATAAAGGTTTGGTGAATGTGTCAGCAACTGGAAACTGAGCAGGAACATGCTTCACTACCAGTGATTTGGCTAGAACCTTTTCTCTGACAAAGAACAAACAAGTTCAATGTGCTTAGTCCTAGAGTGCAGCACTGGATTATGGGTTAAGGAGACTGTGCTGAGATTATCACAGTAGATAATAGATGTCTGTATAGGGACATTGAGCTCATGAAGAAGAGATTGAACCCAGACAATTTCAGAGACAGTAAGAACAAGACTACTGTGTTTAGCCTCTTTGCTGGATTTAGCAACAAGTGGTTGTTTCTTTGACCACCAGGAGACAAGGTTAGACCCTAGAAATAAGCATGAACCGGAAGTTGAGCGTCTGTCATCTGGATCCGTTGCCCAATCTGCATCACAGAACGCAACCAGTGTAAGGGGCTGAGCAAATGGTGCTGGATGAAGAAGACGACCATAAGTCAGTGTACCCTTTAAGGTTTCTTAGAATCCGTTTAACCACTGTCCAATGTTCTTCAAGGGGTTGAGACAAAAACTGGCAGACTTTGTTAACACTGAAGGCAATCTCAGGTCTGGTGAGAGTGGCATATTGTAATGAACCTACGATTGATTTGTACAACTGAGGATCATCAGCATAATTTCCACCAAATTTGGTAAGTTTGCAGCTACTAGGAATAGGTGTAGAGATTCCTTTGGCATCTATCATTCCAGCTCGAGATAATAGATCTCGTATGTATTTAGTTTGTGAGAGCAGCATGCGTCCATTCGAAAGATGCTTTACTTCAATACAGATAAATGTAAAAGAATACGTTGTGTATTGATCTGTGTCAAGGAGTTACAATATATAGAGACCCTAATGGGCTTAAGTGTAAGGCCCAAACCTAATCCAAACCTAATCCTAATACAGTCAGAATACAGTCAGACTATTTACGGATAAGACAGAATCCAATCATATCTAATCAAATCTAATCATATCATATCTAATATTCTAACACTCCCCCTCAAGCTGGTGCGTATATATTATGAGCACCAAGCTTGTTACAAATGTATTCAACCCGAGGACCTCTAAGAGCTTTAGTGAAAATATCTGCTAGTTGATTAGACGAGTTGACAAAAGCTGTCTTGATTTCTCCTGACTGAATCTTTTCCCGAATGAAGTGACAATCAATCTCTATATGTTTGGTCCTCTCATGAAAAACAGGATTAGAGGATATATGTAGCGCAGCTTGATTATCACAGATGAGTGTCATGGGTTGTTTCTGTTCACAAAGATGAAGCTCTTGAATCAACTGCTTTAACCAGATCAACTCACAGGTAGTATTTGCCATTGCACGATACTCAGCTTCTGCACTAGATCGGGAAACAACAGGTTGTTTCTTGCTTTTCCATGAGATTAAGTTTCCTCCGAAGAAGACACAATAACCAGAAGTAGAGCGTCTGTCCGAGGGTGATCCTGCCCAATCGGCATCTGAGTAACCACAAATTTTTGTATTTCCTTGATCCGAATACAACAAACCTTTTCCTGGTGCTCCTTTGATGTATCGGAGGATCCTCACAGCAGCATCCCAATGTGAATCACAAGGGGAATCAAGGAACTTACTGGCCGTACTGACAGCGAAAGAAATATCTGGCCTAGTCACAGTAAGATAATTGAGCTTCCCAATTAGCCTCCGATAACGGCTCCCCTTGTCCGGGTAATAACTTGTCATTAGGATCCATAGGTGTATCAACTGGTTTACTCCCCAACATACCAGTTTCTTCTAGGATATCCAAGGCATATTTCCTTTGACAGATAGAAATGCCCTGTCTTGATTGCGCCACCTCAATTCCCAAGAAGTAACGCAACTTCCCAAGGTCCTTTGTTTGAAATGTACTAAACAAATGCTGTTTTAACTGACGAATTCCGTCTTGATCACTTCCGGTGAGAATGATGTCGTCAACATAGACTAACAAATAGATACACTTATCAGGAGATGTAATCCTATAAAACACAGAATGATCAACTTTACTGCGGATTAAGCCAAACGCCTGAACAGCAGAACTAAAACGACTGAACCATGCTCGAGGAGACTGTTTGAGACCATATAAGGATTTCCGAAGACGACACACCTTTCCAGACTCCCCCTGAGCAACAAAACCAGGTGGTTGCTCCATGTAAACTTCTTCTTGTAAATCACCATGAAGAAAGGCATTTTTGATGTCAAGTTGAAGGAGTGGCCAGTGACGAACAGCAGCAAGGGCAAGAAAGAGGCGGACTGACGCCATCTTAGCGACCGGAGAAAATGTATCGCTATAATCAAGGCCAAAGATTTAAGTAAAACCCTTGGCAACTAAACGTGCCTTGAGACGATCAATATGGCCATCAGGTCCAACTTTCACAGTAAAAACCCAGCGACAACCAACTATAGACTTCTCTGGAGGAGCAGAAACAAGGTCCCAAGTGCCATTGGAATGAAGTGCAGTCATCTCATCAAGCATTGCTTGGCGCCACCCTGGATGGGAAAGTGCTTCACCTGTGGTCTTAGGAATAGAAATAGAAGAAAGACTAGAAACAAAGGTGAAATGAGGTGAAGAAAGACGGTCATAACTCAAAAAGGTATAAAGAGGATAAGGGTTACGAGTAGTACGTTTACCTTTTCTTTGAGCAATGGGAAGAGTCTCTGATGAAGGATCCGGAGGGGAAGAAGCAACAGCAGTGGGCGATGAGTCAGCAAGAGTCGAGTCGACAGGAGGCACAGTTTTGCGACGCTGATAGGTGAGAAGTGGACGGTCCTCAGGTATAGAAGCAATAGGTTGCTCATCTGGAATAGAAGCACCTGCAGCTGGCAAAGACAAGTCAAGAAAAGGGACAGGAAGTACATGATCAACCTGTGACATCTGAGATGGGATAGAATTAAAGGGTTGTTGATCAAGAAAAGTGACATCAGCGGAAACTAAGTAACGCTTAAGGTCGGGAGAATAACAACGATAATCCTTTTGAAGACGAGAATAACCAAGAAAGATACACTGAAAGGCTTTGGATGTTAACTTATCCTTACCAGGAGTGAGATCATGGACAAAACAAGTACAACCAAAGACATGTGGAGTTAGAGGATAAAGAGGAACATCTGGAAGCAATAGATTATGAGGAATGTCATTGTGGAGCACAGATGAAGGCATGCGATTGATGAGAAAACAAGAGATGAGTACAGCATCTGCCCAGAAGTGAAGAGGAACCTGCATATGAATAAGAAGGGTACGGGCAGTTTCAATGAGATGTCTGTTTTTACGTTCAGCCACCCCATTTTGTTGTGGAGTGTGAGGACAAGTAGTTTGATGTAAAGTACCTTGTGTGGCCAAGAATTTAGAAAAATCAATAGAAACATATTCCTTAGCATTATCACTACGTAGAATACGAATAGAAACACCAAATTGAGTATGGATCTCAGTAGAAAACTTTTTATAAATGGAAAATAACTCAGAACGATTTTTCAATAAATAGGTCCAAGTGCAACGGGAAAAATCATCAATAAAGGTAACTATTGAAAAGAAGTTTCTGTATATTGATTTTGAATAATTTACATGAGTGAGTATTTATACAAGAAAGAATCGCTAAGAATGACAAAGCGATGACTAAGCGATGACTAATCAATCCTAATCACAATCAATTCTAATCAATCACAATCAATGCTAATCAATCATAATCAATCCTAATTAATAGGAAATAAAAACGGAAACATGTTTGGCTTCTGATTTTCTACACTCCCCCTCAAGTTGGGAGGTAAATATTGATCATTCCCAACTTGCCAATCAAGTCTTCGAATGCTGGACGGTGTAGGCCCTTGGTAAGGATATCTGCCGTTTGCTCTTTGGTTGGAACATATATCAAACGCACACTTCCATCATCTAATTTTTCTTTGATGAAGTGACGATCAACTTCCACGTGCTTTGTTCGATCATGATGCACAGGATTTTGAGCAATGCTAACAGCTGCCTTGTTGTCACAATATAGTTTTATTGGTAGGGAATATGAAATCTTCAACTCTTGAAGAAGTCTTCTCAACCAGATTCCTTCACAAACTCCATGAGATAAAGCTCGAAATTCTGCTTCAGCGCTACTTCTAGCAACCACTGTTTGCTTTTTGCTTCTCCAAGTAACACGATTTCCCCACACATAGGTGCAATAGCCTGATGTAGATCTCCTGTCTACTGATGAGCCTGCCCAATCTGCATCAGTGTAGATTTCAATTGTCCTTTTATACCCTTTTTTAAAGAATAATCCTCTTCCTGGAGTATTCTTGAGGTATCTAAGCACCCTATAGACTGCACTAAGATGCTTCTCCTTGGGTGAGTGCATGAATTGACTAATCATACTCACCGCAAAGGCAATGTCAGGACGCGTATGAGATAAGTAGATTAGTTTACCAACCAATCGCTGATATTGTTCTTTATCCACCTCATTCCCATCTTCAATACCTAACTTGGTATTAGGTTCCACAGGTGTCTCAGCAGGTTTACACCCTAACATTCCTGTTTCCAACAAAAGATCTAGAACATATTTTTTTTGTGTTAGAGTGACGCCTGTTTTGCTCCTAGCAACATCCATACCAAGGAAATATTTGAGAGTGCCAAGGTCTTTGAGTTCAAATTGAGCTGCTAGAAATTTCTTCAAGGTGTTCAATTCCTCAATATCATCACCTGTAAGAATTATATCATCTACGTATACAATAAGAATAGCAATTTTACCATCCTTAGAGTGTTTGTGGAAGAGAGTATGATCAGTCTGTGCTTGAATGAAGCCTCTTCTTTTGACTGCTTGTGTGAATTTGTCGAACCATTCTCTGGGAGACTGTTTCAATCCATATAGAGACTTTTTTAGTTTACACACTGATCCATTTCCCTTTTCAAAACCAGGTGGAGGATCCATATAGACTTCTTCATGTAAGTCACCATTTAGGAATGCATTCTTCACATCTAAC